ACCCTGAGATTCTTCTCCCCATCCTAGCCTTGCATTTCCTCTTTGCTCTCAGGTCTTCTCCAAACATATCATCTCACCAACCTTCACTTAATGATGTCCATGAAAACTCTTTTGCATATTTTCAAGTTACTAATTACTCATTTGAAAGATTCTTCCCATCACTTTCCTGGTCTTGTTAAACTTTCAAAAATTTCCAGGGCTTGGGGTTACTCTCTTCAAAATTTTTATATCAAATTTTTGTTACTTCTTATAAAAATAACCTAGTGGCTTTTACCTATACTAAAGCAGCCCAAGCACTCTCCCTGGAGCGGCAACTCCTGAAGTGGCCCACTCAGTCTTCACCTGCCTTTAAAAGCACTTGTGTCTCTCCTTTCCTTTTCCCATCTTTATGGCCACCCCAGAGGCTCTGTTAGGAATAAATGCTCATACAAGAAAGAAATGATGACTTAAACAAAGAGGGGGAGACTTTTTTTATATACCAAGAAGTCTGGACTATCTTTCTGCTCTGTTGTCCTTAGCTTTCTATCTTCTTGATTGATGTCTATGGTTGCTAAACAGATGCAACAACTCAAGATTACACATCCTTTCACCAGAATCCCAAGTACAAGAGAAGGGGAGGTTTAAAGACTCTCTCTCCATGAAGCTCTGGCTTTTCATTGGAAAAGGAAGTCCCCCTAAGTCTCCCCTTCCATCTCACTGGCCAGAACTGGGTCTCATGCCCTCTCCTAGACTACTCACTATTTGAATTCCCATGTAGGTCTAGACCTTTCCTGAGGCTGGGGATCAAGGGCTTGCTGCCCACCCTCAACCCCATCAGGAAGAAGAGATCAAGAAATGGCTGTCAGTCAAAGACTACAGTGCTGTCATCCATCTCTCTCCATGTGGAAGGGCAAAGTCCCCACAGAAGCAAGGCTGCCTCCAGTCTAGTGGTCAGAACAGCCTGACTTAACCTCAGGAGATAAATGGCTGTTTCTGCTTAAAGCCAGGGCCTCTGCTCACTCATTTTGAGGTCCCAGATAAGCCTTTTAAACAGCCACGACCCTGCAACTATATAAGTGAACCATATTTAATATTCTAGATACCTTTTAAAATTATTCATTGTGGAAAACCTGCCAAAACCAACAACATGTCTGAGAACACCAAGTACCTCATTATACCTGTGCACTATTTTCATTCGTGAATGTTAGTCTGTGTTCATCTCAATCCCTTGAGAGGTCTAGGGGTGCCAGTTCCTCACGCCTCTTCCCTGGTAGGGATCAGAAACAATCAGAAAATACACTAAGAAAAACTGACGAACACATGGGCCTCAAACCATCAGTTTTATTCAGAATTCTCTGCAAAAGCTACATGGGAGAATTAAGTGGAACCTCTTACTGCCTACCCTAAATCAAAAGCATGGGAGGAACTTCTGCTTCAGGTCATACTGAAGTAATTAGTTCCAGACTATTCTTCCTAATGTAAACAACTGTAAAAGTAGGAGGCAGTGGTTTTCAGACATTGCACAAGAGGTGGTATAAGACTAAAATCCCAGAGAGAAGAGAAACTTATGAGGTGGCTCTATGACCACCCAGATCTCAGCCAGGGGATGATTTTCTGAGCACAGTGTGGGGAGGCCGGGGTCCAGGGCAGTTCTAATGAGCTGGGGAGGCAGAGATCAGCGTGTGAGTCAACCAAAGTGACTGGAATCTCAAGGCAGGGCACTGGAAAGAAAGAACTATGCAAGAGTGAAGGCCAAAAGTGGACACAGGGATCCCCTACAGGCCTTAGCTAAAGTCTGGGCTACACATGTGCAGGGTGAGACTACCAAGGCTTTCCAGAGAGCAGCTGCTACAGGGCTGAGAGTACAGTGATGTTGCTAGAGGTCAAGCATGCTGGAGAACCCCAGAGTTACAGCCCAGCCAGAGCAGCGAGATCTGGTTAACATTCTGGGCCTCCAGCTAAGACCTCAGAAACGCCACTACTCAGGAATAAGTGCAAAGTCCTAGAGTAAGGTCTACCATAGACCTACCTAACAAAGCCCCAAACCAAGCCCTAACAAAATCCACAGGCAAGACCAAACTTGGAGGCTGAGTCCCATCAAGTCAGAAGTGCTGGGGAACTACACTGGGCTTTCCAGGGATCCATCCTAACAAGGTGTAAAAATCACACCCAGTAAGTACAAGGAAATAAATCTGCCTCCTAGAATAAAAATTAACATTCAAATAAAATTATTCCACAGAACTCAGAATTTCTACAACATAGAATCTTCAGTTGTCCAATGTAAAATAAAAAATTGCTAGATATGCAAAGAAACAGGAAAATGGGATCTATGGCCAAGAGGAAAACAGACAATAAAAACTGCCCCTTAGGTGGCCCAGATATTGGATGTAGCAGAGAATTTAAAGCAACAGTAATCAATTCAATTAAAAAATGTGGTCTGAACGAGTTAACATATAGAGAATCTCATAAGAGAAATAAAAACTATAAAAAGAGAAATGCAGAGCCTGCCTTGATGGCCTAGTGGTTAAAGTTCAGTGCTCTCACCTCTTTGGCGGCCCAAGTTTGGTTCCTGGTCATGGAACCACACCACTCATCTGTCAGTTGCTATGCTATGCAGCGGTGACTCACATAGAAGAACTAGAAGGATCTACAACTAGAATATACAAGTATGCACTGGGGCTTTGGGGAGAAAAAAAAAAATTTTTTTTAAAGAGAAATGCAAATTCCATACATGAGAAGTCAACTGAAATTTTAAAAATCCATTGGATGAGATTGATAGCAGAATGAAGCTGAAAAAGAAAAAGTCAGTGAACTTGAAGACTGATAATTAACAAATCTGAATATCAAAGAGATTTAAGGAAAATTAACCAGAGCCTCAGGGCCTTGTAGAACAACATGAAATGATGTAACATATGTGTAACCGGAGTCTCAGAAAAAGAAGAAGAAAGTGAAAATAGATAGAAAAAGTATTTGAAGAAACAATGGCCAAAAATTTCATCAAAAACATTTACTTATGAAGCTCAGAGAATTCCAACCAGGATAAACAGAAAGAAAATCACACCTAGGTACATCGTAGACAAACTGCTAAAAACCAAGATAAAGAGAAAATGTTGAAATTGGCCAAAGGGGAAAAGAAAAGACATTACATACAACAAAGCAAAGATACAATGCTATGTGAGAAAGATACAGAAGCCTCTTGAAATAGACTGAGGAAGAGTTAGTATTTTTCTAAAGAGATTTATTTCCTAATTCTACTTTCCTAGCTATATCCTTGGGTTAATTCCAGATTTAGAACTTTGACCTATATTGTTCCCTCTAGAAAGTAAAATATAAGAACACCAAGATTTTGTGGTTTTCATCACTTGGAGATAAGATAAACTCAGCTTTGAATACTTGAGTTCCTTCCTGAATACATTTAGAAAGGGAAATATAACAAGTGAGATGGAGAAACAGGAAGAAAGTCAGGGAAAAAAGTATGAAGTAATAGGCATTACTGTCTTAAGTGATTCCGGCATTTTACAGATTAAGTTATTCATACAAAAATTACTTTCTTCAATCAAGAAAGTAAAATTGATTGTGTCCCAAAGAAATATCACATAAAAAGCATTTAAGAAAAACACAGTCTATTTGTTGTCTCATATTAAGCATTTCCTCACTTTTAATATATATTTAAACACACTTGGGGAAAATGCTAAACTCTGAAGACTTTTCCCCCTTTTGCTGTCATAAGAGAAAAAAAGAGAAGAATTCATTGATTTTTTTTTTTTTTTTGTCATTTTAGATTTCTTGCTATCCAGCATGACTAAACATTACGAGCTACGAAGGTAAATACAAACCAACTTTATGTTAGTCAACATAAAATTCTGGGTCCCAGAGAAACATAAAGTACAGTGGGTTTAACATTTTAATAAAATTTCAGCAAGAATATTACTTTGCTTCAAACCAGGGTTTCTCAACGGCGGAACTGTTGGCATTTGGGGATAGATAATTACTGTGGGAGGCTGTCCTGCATATTGTGGGATGCTTAGCAGCATCCCTGGTCTCCCATCCCCTATCCAGTTGTGACAACCAAAAACGTCTCCAGACATGGCCAAATGTCCCTTAGGGAGGAAAATCGTCCCTGACTGAGCAGCACTGCCATAAACGATGGGTCTGTTTTTCCTGCTAATTTATTCATTAAAAAGGGGGGAAGGGGCTGCTTGGTTTATGATCAGCATTGAAACCAACGATGTCTTTCTAATAACATATCTGATGTTAAATTTTGAAAGGAATTCCCTTCATTCCGTTAAAAAGCTCTCCAACTTTGGGGAATGCTAGATTTCATTATCAGGTTGGATTTAGATTTTCTTCATGGTTGACTGGTAGGTTTTGACTTTGGCTTTCAAATAAAGCAGACTCTGTATTTTCTGGGATGCATATTCATCATTCACTCGCCTTTGAATAACTGATGCAAATTAGCCACACAGAACTGGGACATTTTTATTAAAACAAATAGCGATCTATTTCTAACTTATTTGTTAGGAAAATACAACACTTTCTTCATCTAATTGATCCAGGACACATCAAGGAATTTTGAAATGAAAAGATACCTTAGACTACAAGGTGTTCTTAATGAAGTTCAACCTTTAGAAAATACAGAACATTTTTTCACATCAGTTATCTAAATCTAAGATATCTTTCTCATCAGTGTAAAAATATAAGTAAACGTTAATAAGCACCTCTTTCCAGAATAGGACTACTGACCAAGGGCAAAGAGAAGTTTTAAAAAGAAAATACTGTAAAATCTGCAGGTTCTGGCATTTAATCAGAGCAGAAATGTAACCACAAAATTCATATCAGCAAAGGTGTTTGTAACTGTTGACTCTTTCACTCTCAAAGAAGAAAGGAAAATTCCCAGAGTCTTGCTATGCTTACTTGTGCGTGTGATTTTTTTTTTTCCAGGAGAAAATACAGAATAGTATGACGTCAGAGTAAAAGGGGATGCTCTTGAGTCACAGGCAGGTCCATTTCACCTGACTCACCTATGTGGTAGAGACCAATCCAGTCACTGGGGTCCACCTCCTCTTTGATGTCCCAGAAGATAATGAGGTTCTGGGCCTGCCCCAGCGTGTACTCGTACATGCTGGCAGTCAAGCTGGAGCGGCTCTCAGAAGTCACCAGGTCCGTGTCGCTGTTGGCCCGCTGTAGGGTCATGTTCTCGGGCATGGAGCTCTGGGCGGCCAGGCTCTGGAGGTTCTCTGGGCTCAGTGTGTACCGCATCTGGGGATTTCGACGCCGCACAAAAAGCAGGTGCTCCCGGGCTGAGCTAGCCATCCCGTCTGCCTCTCTGAGGTTGGCTTCCTACAAAGCTGCAAGAGACAGACAGGCGCAAAGCATTAGCGCTACAACGGGAGGAATCAGGTTTAAGCTTCCCAGATATAAAGCCTTGAGGAGCATTTATTAAAGCCTAACCATATAATCTTCTGCTGTCAAAACCTATTATTCTACTGTCAACTGATGATGTCAGAAACAATTTCTATAGACTGAGGTCACATGACGGCAAAGACCATCACACACCTGTGGCCCTCAATTTCACTCGGCACAACTTCTCCTAGCAATTAAGGAGAAGGGGATTTCTCTACCATCCATTTTAGGTCTCTCCATTACCAGACACCCCACCTTCAGAAATGGCATCCTCTTCTCCTTCACCCCACACATGTATTTATTTCCTGCTGTAACTAAATTTTAAAATAGCAGGACACAAAATTTTGACACATGCTAAACATAGTTAAAATATACCATTGAGAACAAGTTCACTTGCTCAATTTCCTTAGCATAGGAACCTAACTCTTGAAAAAAACTTTACTGTCTTTTTCAAAAGCTTGCTCAAATATCATCTCCTCACTTAAACACAGTGGCCATCATATTTAAACCTGCAGCACCCCAGCTTTCCCCATCTCTCCTTTCTTGCTGTATTTTTCTCAATAGCAATTATTATGATCTGATGTACCACACAGTACCATGTACTTATTTGTTTGGTTATTGTGTACTTCCCCCAACAAGAATGTAAGCTTGAAGAGAAGACAGTCTCTTCAATAAATGGTGTTGGGAAAACCAGACAGCCATATGCAAAAGAATGAAACTGGACGACGTCTTATACCCTATACAAAAAGCAACTCAAAATGGATTAAAGACTTGAAACTAAGCACTAAAACCATAAAACTTCTAGAAGAAAACATAGGAGGCAAGCTCCTGGACATCAGTTGTGGGCATGATTTTTTGGACTTAACATCAAAAGCACAGGCAACAAAGGCAAGTAAGCAATGAGACTACATCAAACTAAAAAGCTTCTGCACAGCAAAGGAAACCATCAACACAAATGAAAAGGCAACCTACTGAATGGAAGAAAATATTTGCAAAATCATATGTCTGATAAGTGGTTAATATCCAAAATATAAAATATAAAGAACTCAAACAATTCAATAGCAAAAAAGAAACAATCCAGTTAAAAAATGGGCAGAGGAACTGAGTAAATACTTTGCCAAAGAAGACATACAAATGGCCATCAGGTACATGAGAAGGTGCTCAAGATCACTAATCATCAAGAAAAGCAAATCAAAACCACAGTGAGATATCACCTCATATCTGTTAGGATGGCTATTATCAATAAGACAAGAGGTAACAAGTGTTGGAGAGGATGTGGAGAAAAGAGGATTCTTGCGCACTGTTGGTGGGAACGTAAATTGGTATAGCCACTATGGAAAACAGTATAGATCTTCCTCAAAAAGCGAAAAATAAAACTACCATATGATCCAGCAATCTCATTTATGGGTATATATCCAAAGGAAGTGAAAACAGGATCTCAAAGAGATATCTGCACTTCCATGTTCATTTCAGCATCATTCACAATAGCCAAGATATGGAAACAACCAAGTGTCCATCAATGGATGAATGGATAAAGAAGATTTATTATATATATACAATGGAATATTATCTAGCCATGAGAAAGAAGGAAATCCTACTATTTGCGACAATATAAATGGACCTTGAGGGCAATTATGCTAAGTGAAATAAGTCAGACAGAGAAAGACAAACACTGCATTGTATCATTTATATGTAGAATCTTAAAAAAAGTCAAACTCTTAGAAACAGAGCAGAAGTGTAGCATAGAGAGTAGAGTGTATTTGTCAATTATACCTAAATAAAATTGAAAGGGAAAAAAAAAGAATGTAAGCTTCACAAGGGCAGGGATTTTCATCTGTTTTGTTCACTATTTTATCCCCAGTGTCTGCAACAGTACACAGTACACAGTAGGTATTCATAAATATTTGTTAAATGAACAGTGAGCATTTTTCTCCTAGATACTTCTTAAGCTCCTAGGGGCACGGCTTACACCTTGTGTCCCTTTTCTGGGGCTGCCCCTCGCCATCTCTGATTTTCTGGCCAGTCCACACTATTTCTACCATCTGGACCCACGATAAGCTATTTCCTTTGGCTCCACTTGGCCTCCATCTAAAGAAACAGGGCTTTTCCTGTTGGAACACAGATACAGTCCCATTTTGGCTCACTGAGAGTCTAGCCCTAAAATATCCATTTTTCTCTCCACTGCCAGATTCTGACAGAGATTCTTTCTAAGACCTGGGCACTGTAATCTAGTGCATTTGAGGTTCTATCTGCCAGTGCCTTTCCTGTCTGCCCATGGATTCACACCACCTCACCCGGATCCTATTGGCTCTGCACAGAATGAATCTAGCTCTCCTCTATATTACCCATTTCGGAACTACATAATTCAGCAGTTTATAAATTTATGAATTTAACATTTACTCTGCATCCCTCGCACGTGCTGGCCTCTTTGATACACCATGTTTCATTTAAAGGCCACCCCTACAAAGATGTCCTGCAAAGTCAGCATGAGCTTCCACTAAAAAAAGAAAAACAAAAAACTAGTCTTAGTGCAATAGTTACATTACAACTAAAAACCTTGGATACTGAGTCTCAGGGAAGAAAACAGGTGAATTCCCTAATTTCTCCAATCCCCCAAACCATTTCATAAACACTTTGAGTGAAGAGGACCCAAATTCTGCCATTGCTGGGGTAATGGTACTTGTAAATGTATTTATTCAATTAATTTGTCATAAAGTTGATCTCCTATTTTTAGCACTATCCCTTGAATTAAAATAACTTGGATTGGCGGGCTAGACACCCTATGTGAAAAGGACAAAAATAAAATGAACAGAGAAACTGATATTCTTCATAAACTTAACAGTTCTTTTCCTGATGTGGTATATAGTAATTCTGACACAATATAACCCATAACCATTGCACAACCTCAAACTCATGAAGCCTAAAATACAGGTCAACTTGTAATCTGAGGGTTTCATGACATGTTCATTTCAGTGGGTTTCAACAGGCCGTTCTTTCTTTGTAAATGCAGAGTGAGGAAAGCACCACATCAGCTTCAAGGAGCACTATAAATAATTAACTGCTAACACGTTGCAGTCAGACAGCAAATGCAGGCTGTCTATCACTGAACCACATCCCCGAGAGAAAGGAAGAGGCCAGAACCTTCATACCTTAAAGTCACAACAGAAGAACTACAGAAAATTACTTGGCTCCAGAAAAAAAGAAAAAAACATGTAAGTACACCAACACTGTTGTTTTAAAATGACCTCTATTTAATCAGGGAGACAGGTTAGCACAGTGGAGAGAGAATAAGCCCAGAGCCTGATTTCTGGGTTTCAGTCATGTCTCTACATTAAATTGCTCTGTGGTCTCAGATAATTTGTTTTAACTTTCTGTGCTTCCATCTTCCCACTTGTACAGTAAGGACATAATGACACCTGCCTCATAGGATACCGGAGAGAACTGAATAATTGTACAGGTAAAGCATTTAGAACAGGGCCTGATATACAGTAATAATCAATCAAGTTGTTATTAATACTATGATGTGACTGCAGCCTACTTTAATTCTAGTCCCTTCATCCCCCACCCATTGGGAGAGTAGGCTGTCAGCATCCTCAATTATTCAAGGCCACAGCCCCAAAAATAGGGGGAAAAAAAGAGCCTTGTAGGCACTGAGGGACTCAACTACTCCGAAATGTGAGCCTTGACCCCATAATCCTGACAAGAGCCATTTTCTGGTCCTCAATCCAGAGATACAGGTGGAAATTTGACTTTCTCACCAGTATTGGGTTCATTCATTCATTCCTTCCTTCAACAAAATTTTACGGAGCACCTCCCACGTGAAAGGCATTAAGGATACAACAGAGCAAAAGACAAAGGCCCAGCTCTTGGGAACCCTGCATTTTTACAAGAAGAGATATGTAATAGATGGATCCAAAAGCTGAGTAAATAATATATTTACTTTTAGTGGAAAAGAAAATACAAGCTAGAAAAGTGTGAATTTGCTAGTTTAATTGAACCATGCAAAATCGTATGAAGCATCTACCGGTACATACCTAGCATAAAGCCTCAAAGGATGCTAAACAGGAAAAAGAGTGAGGTTTTCTTTCAAATTCTTTCTTTTCTTTTCCGAAAGCATGTAACATGGCCCTTACCCTCCAGGAACGTCGGCTTTTTGGAGAGAAGACCAAATATTCACATACAAAAGAATTTAATCTGGTATCAATGACACTTCATCTCTATGTACAATGTGTCCTAACAAATACATGACGGAGGTAATAAATGCTTGTGGGGCATCAGGAAGTGATAGCAATATACTATTTATAAAGTGTTCAAACATTTCCACAGCACTTTCCCATGTATTTTCTCAAGTGAGACCCCAGAATATTGTGAATTAAATTTGAGCGCTATCACCATTACCTGTTTTCAGATGAGGAAACTGAGGATCTGTGAGGCAGAAGGTTGTCCGAAGGAGAGAGAAAATACTTTGTGGCAGAGGTTACATATCTGAGGTGAGTCTTAAAGGATTAGAAGAAAGAAAAAAAATGTACGAAGTGCACCCAGCCTCAATGTATTCATCTATTAAATGCAAGTAACTTTAATGTACCATGCAAGACTGTTGTAAGGATTAGAAAAATCACATGCAAAAGTGACCAATAAAAAGCAACTATTGTTATTTTAGTAAGCAAACAACATAATTACTGAATTAATTAATGCATTATTTAGTTTGGAATAGCTCTCCATGCCTAAGAGTCTGGGGACAGAAACACTAGGACCTGGAAGACAGTTAAGAGAAATCAAATGCTAAAGACCACCTTTATACACAAAAAACCACCATCAGTTCTGCCTAGTGCTGGTGACCCTGTGCTTAGGGAAGAAGGAGAACACAGTCCATGGGTCTCTGGCTTCCCTATTTGACATGGCTCCTGGCTCCCAGAGCCCAGAAATCAGCTACATTAGGATACAC